GCATGTATAACTAATTAGAACAAGTAAAATAATAGTAATAATAGTGGTGTTTGACTTAGAAGTTATATGATCATTGTTTATTTATTTTAACTTTGTCACTGATTAATATTAAATCTTTCACTGATCACATTTAATGATTATAGATTTGAACTCTCCTTAATATATGAATATACCACCAATTATTCTTCTGTTATTGTTTTCACTCCATGTTAATATTTATTCTTTTATTTTTAAACTTCCTGAATCATTACTTAGGTATGTCTTTTTTATAAGTTGAATCTGTTTGAYACTAAATCTGAAAGCATTTTCCTTTTGGTATGTGACTTTTACCCTATACCTACCTATTAGCATAAGTCCTATGTTTGGCTTTACTTTTGTTATCTTATTTTTATTATTTACAATTTCTTTGTGGACACTTTTTTTKTGTGTGTGTGTTTTGCTACACAGATATATTTTGTTTGATTTTAACTTTTGTAGGAATTTGGAAGAGAAAGACCTTGTTTTACATGGTACACATAGTTGCCTGTTAAGTTTGTCAAATAACTGGATTTAACCTTTGTTTTGTAAATTACCCAATTTGACCCTCCTTGCACCTGCTTGGAGTTTAGCACAACTTTAGCACAACTTTCCTTCCTTCCTTAGGGTCGCTCTCTTGTCACTTCCTCATCGTTTTATTCCAGTCTGGGAATGTTGATCCAGATAGTTAGAATACACTCTTCCAATTTAATTATGCATCTTTTCCCATATTTTACTCAGGTTTCTGGTATATTTTAAAGCCTTGTAACAGTCATAATTTACATTTCTGTATTAGATTAACTTGAATGTTCACCATGAGTCCTTTTTCTATTACGATTTTCCCATTTTTTTAAAATTTCTTGTTTTGCTTCGTAAATGATCCATCTGGAGAATGGCTTTGGCATTTGATCAGGATAGGTGAGAGAATAGGTTCAGCTCTGATATTGCACATGAGATTGGTTTTCTGTTGTCTTCATACATAAATGACCAAATAATAGGACGACTGGGCTGCAACCTTTTCTTAGGAATATCTTGCAGTGGTTGCTCTGTGGATTTCTACAGTTTAGTGTTTGGATGGGAAACTTGAAATTGTCTGAGTTTTACTCTTTTCTAGGTAACTTTTATATTATGATGGGTATGTTTTGACAAGATTTTTAGGAAACGTCTATTTAAAGACATTCCAGAGCATATACAGATAGAGAATTTATTTTAACTAATTTGTTTTGTTTGAAAAATATTTTATTGATAGTGATTTTACCTCTTTATGCAGTATATGTAACGATTTTTACTGTAAATCCATGAATTAATCTGCCCACTTGAATAATTTATTGTAGTCTAGCGAAATTTTATTTAAATATTTATTTAACATTTACATATTTAATTTAATCAATGTCAATATTTACTATTCAGTTACTGTTGCTGTACTTATTATATTCTGGTTTCTTCTTCAGGAAYCTCTGTAAGTCATTCATCCCAAACTAAGGTAAGAGGTTCTTGGGGTTTCATCAGTGAGCAAAACTGATTCCTGCCTTCGAGGAGCTTAAAATCAAGCCAGAAGAAATAGACAGTGAGTGCTGGGCATGTTGGCACACACTTGTAATCCCAGCGGCTTGGGAGGCTGAGGCAGGAGAATCACAAGTTCAATGCCAGCCTCACCAAAAGTGAGGCTCTAAGCAACTCAGTGAGACCCTGTCTCTAAATAGGGCTGGGGATGTGACTCAGTGGTTGAGTGTCCCAGATTTCAATCTCTGGTTCCCCCCACCCCCGCAAAAAAGAAAAAAAGTAAATAGACAATGAAAAGGACAATGCAAAGTATCTAGTGGGGTGTATGGGTTAAGGACCATGGGAAGGTGTGGTTCCTTCTGCTTTGGGTGCTGTTTCCACGTTCGCATGCTCTGTTAAGTGACTTGATTTCCCTTAGCGTCATTTCTGCTCTGTTTTACCCCCAAGTTGTTAGTTTGGTTTTCCCTAAAATTCAACAGTGTTTATTTTTTTAGCCCGCTTTCTTTGGTCTGCTGCTTCTCATCTTGTTTTCTGCTTTTTGTTTCCTTCACATGGTGGAAGCAGCTCTTCACAGGCTCCTTCTTGTCCTGTTATCTATCTATTTCATAGTGGAGGCCACCTCAGGCCCATGCCTGCCACCAGGCAGTACCCCATGGGGCCCAAAGCCCCACACCCTCCCTTGAGGGTAACTGTCCCCTTCTGCTTAGACCTGAGGCCATCTGTGAGGTCCACAGGCAGTCTTCATGGAACTTGGGCAGGAGGCATGTCCTCCTTTCTCCCAATGACAAAGGAGATAGTTGGCATTTTTGTCTTTGCTGCAGTCCTTCTGAAGTGTTATGGCTCAGCTTGGAGCTCTTTCTAGCTTCCTTTGAGGGATGACTCTACATTCAAACATTCCCAACAGCTTTCTCCAGCCCTTCTGCTTCCYGCCAGGATGCATAATAAAAGTGAAGGTTGTTATCTCTGAATACATAGATAAAGCAAGAAGCAGACTGGTCAGGGTAGGGACAAGAAGGTGATTTTGGTACTGTGGACCCTCGTTTGGCCAGTGGTGAAGATGGCTCTTTTTACAGTGAGCTAYATCATTTCGTTTTTTGTTGAATTGTGTTCCTAACTCTTAGTCTCCCGTACAATACATTCTTTCCAAGTTAGAGGGTTG